TGGCCCAAATGGGAGTGGCCGAGCGCACGCTTAGGCTGGGCATTCCTAACAGTTGCCATACGTGGGTGAAATGGGGATGGCCTAATTTAGGTGGAGTGGGGCTCTCAAACTTACATGTAGGAATATTTACAGACATTTCAGTGTCGGACGTACGCTTGCGTGTAGAGGTTAGGTCGCCATAAGAGAGCTTTCAACAAGATAAAATCCGTACAGTGTCTTGATGAGGTATTCTTCGTGAGATTTCATTAATGTCTCCCAATGACAGCCTAATAAAGCTATTCTAGTATGGGCCTCATTGGATAGTCATTGGGAAAGCCTAATGCGGCCCTAACGCGGCTTTCCCAATTAGGCGGTCGTGAATATTCCGCGTTACATATTGCATGCGGGCCTGATGGGGCTGCCTCATTGGGGTCTAACAGGCAAATTAGGCTAGCCTAATGCGGACCTAATGTCTGCCTAACTGAAATTTCTAGTCGGGTAGTTAATCGTTGGGAAAAATGAATAGAATCGTGTGAAAATTGTTTTAATTAAATACCTTATTTTCCGAAGGAGCACGATGTATCTAAAAAAAGAAACGAAAGTAAAATAATTAAGAAAGTGAATTGTTCTTTACTAACCAACGAAATATTATGGCGTCAATGATGGTGGCAGGCAACGAAGATCTGTACGCAGTAAACGTGAGCTGACACTTTTATGGGTCTTCGATTTTGCAGTTTAATGTGTTTTTAAATCGACCGGTGATATATTTGCCCGGTTAGAGGTAGAAATCCTCGATAAGCCGGGTGCTTTAATTTAAATTGATAGCTCTCTACCAGGCTGCATTTTGTATTCTTGCATTTTCCATACTTCAACGAAAATTCATTTTTAATATCTCACGTGTTAAATCGCAACGAACACGTCCTATAATAGAAATCGGCGGATCCGTCAAAGATTAAAATCCGAACTATAATAATTCGAGGAATCGGATCACATAGAATTATACTCGATCATAATTATGCCGGATAACTTCCACGACGTTCGAATTTCATGGTTGAAATTCGATTTCAGAAAACTCGTGAAAATTCCTGTTCCAGATTTTCCAGTTGAAACATTACCACACGCCTACGAGCAATCAATATCGAAACGCGCTCGACCAGAGGGATACCGCGATAACAGAATGTAACGCGAAAATTCAACGTTTGATTAAAAAATCACTGGAATATTGAAACATCCTGTTTTAAAATTTCTCTACAAAACATTACTACATTTTTTTTCTTCTTTTTTACCTACATACGTTTGCAATATTGAAAATATTGAAAGTATTGTTAGATATTCTAGAAAAAAAAGAAAAGAAAACAGTCAGCCACGTCTTTGATCGAAATTTTAACGAAACAGTAACGAGCACTTTTATTCATCTCGTGCAACTTACAATTAGACACAAACGAACAGATCTAACAAGGGATAACCATCGATTTTGATCAAAAATTTGCTATATCGTAGTTCTGGAAAAACTAATCAACGCGTATTTGTTCATATCGCCATTCGTTCACAGTGAAAGGATAAAAATCGCCGTGAAAGTTGGAGATAGTAAATATCTCGAAAATGATTAGAAATAGAAGAACAATGTAAACTGGCGAATTTCTTATTTTTCTATTATTATTTATTATTTTTTATTCGTCAACTATTCCTCCATCTCTACTTATTTTCCAGATATTAGACTAAATATACTTATAACCTCCAACTTTAACCCCTTAACCTATGATTTCTTTTCTGACTATGCATCTAAGTGTCAGCCATTTTAGTTTTAGTACTGTATCAGGTAACAAAAGCTAATCTGTTACAAATTACATTTGGTAATCCTCAATCTTATAAATTCAAACGAAAATTAGGATTGTCAATTAATTTTTCTTACCGATGCAACTATTTTTCTCACATCTTCACCAGAATCTCTGCCACGAGTCTGACGCGTTGTTATAGGTTAGGTTAGGTTAAGGACGAATTTCACCCCTCCAATGTGAACAATTGCCTTAAAAAAAAAAGCAACACGTCAAATATTTGTTGGAATACATACTGTACACCAAAGTTTCGTCAATATCGGTGATCATCGCTTCGCCCAAACTGCGAAGGTCCGTTCTCGCCCAGCAAAGTTTATCGAATCCTTCGCCTGAGAAACTTCAAACGAATCGATACCAGGCGTAATCTTGGTAAAGTACATCGAACTGGATACGTTTGCAACAATCACGGCAACATTCTAGTACCGCGTTTCCGAAATCTCGCGTAGAGGTCCGCCGTCAATTGCGTCAGAACGCGTTTGCGTTTAGCAGGCGAACGTAATAAATCCATTCGCTCTGCGTATTGATTTCAGATAATGGGTAAGTGGTACGTGGTGGAGGTTCTCGGGCACAAAGTCGATCCGTTCAAACCGATCACTGGAACATTCGTGGTGGATTCCTGTCCGATCGTGAAGCTCAGAGCTGTGGAGAACTCGTCGAATTTCTTCTCGTCTCTGAGGCTGCTCTGGACCGAAGAGGCGGGCAATCTCGAGTACACCTTCCGGATACCGGACATCTCGAGGAAACCGGGCTTCTGGATCTCCACCTCTCTGCAAAATGGTGAATATCGAATGCATAGAAATAAGCGATACGTTTTAACCCCTTTTCTTCTTCACTTTTGTACCATACGTTATCAAGTTTGAATAATCGCTTGAGCGTGAAGAGGCAGTTCGATTATTTAAGACAAAAGCGATACGGTAACCTTTTTCTCTTTTTCTACTGTGCTCTGTCAAGCTTGAATAATCATAGAAGAGTGAAGAGGCAGTTCGAATATTTTTTAAGAAAAAAATAAACGATACGTTGCTTTCTCTTTTTTTGTATTACGTGTGGGTACTTTGTCAAGCTTGAAAAATCATGTACACGTAAAGAGGAAGTTCGATTACTTTTTAAGAGGAAAAATAAGCGATACGTTGTCGTTTTTCTTTTTGTACTGTACTTTGTCAAGCTTGAAAAATTAGATAAGCGCAAAGTGGCGATTATTTTTGAAAACGAAAAAAACAAGCGATACGTTATTTTGTTTTCTTGTTATCTCTACTGTACTTTATAAGGCTTAAAAATCGTAAACACGTAAAGAAGGCATTTAGATTATTTTCGCTGGATACAGATAAACGATACGTTTACTTTTTTGTATTTTTCTATCGTGCTTTTTCGAACTAGAAAAATCACACACGCGTCGATAGGAAGTATTATTTTGCAGGAGGGCAAAAAAGCATTGAAAAAGCAGCTTCGCCTTGATTGTACAATTTTAACTCGATACAACTGTTTGAACTTTCTGCTATTTTTCCAATATATTTTCAACCTCGGGGTATTCAATTTTGAAAATAGAGATGAAAAACGCATCGAATTTCGGGATGTTTTGAACACGAGATGAAAGCTGGCCCTCGCGAAGCTTACGGAAAGCTTCCGCGATGTGCTTTTTCTTTTTGTTTTGCTTAATCCTCAGAATGAAAAAAGCGAAATCGAATGAAGGTTCTTCCGACTTCGATAAATTTAACGGGCGAAGGTTTCCCAGCCGGTCGCGAAGCCAGTCGAGACGCATAAAACGGAAGAATAATTTCCTCGTGAAACATTCCGAGCAGCGCGACGCTCGCTTAAGAGGAAGCGGGAAAAAATATAAAACGAAGAAATGTAAATAAAAAGTTGTTTTACCTCAACGAAGTTTCCTCACCGATAGATAGCTCGATAACGAACAGCTCGATACTCCTCTCGTACGCTTCTAACAGAGACGATTATCGCAAGCCGCGGAGAGAAGTAACTGATAGCTTGAAATCACAAGAAAATGAAGAATTCTCGAAGTGGAAATGGATAAGTAAAATTGCTTGATCGGAGAACGTCCAAACTGACGGTGAAATAAAAGAAGGATACGTGACACTTTTTCTCGATGTGATTCACTTCCTATATATACACTCTGTGATGAAACACTTGCGTCAAAGAATACCTCTGCTCTCCTTAACCCTTTCTCTACTGTCGTCTCTGCCAAGAAATAGTCTCGAGAAATTTTCTAAATAATTTTAAAGATAAAATTCGAAATTAAAATTTTTGACATTTATCGTTTTAAAAATTGACGTGGAAGTGTATTCAAAGAACAAGAATTAAGGTTTAAATTAAGGCGAAGTGTGCCAGAAAACGCCAAAGCACAGTGCGCGAAAAATTTCAAAATTTAGACATTTATCGTTTTAATAATTAAGGTGGAAGTGTACACAAAGAGCGAGAATTAAGGTTTAAATTAAGGCGAAGTGTGCCAGAAAGCGCCAAAGCACAGTGCGCGAAAATTTTCAAAATTTTGACATTTATCGTTTTAATAATTAAGGTGGAAGTATACACAAAGAACAAGAATTAAGGTTTAAATTAAGGCAAAGTGTGCCAGAAAGCGCCAAAGTACAGTGCGCGAAAAATTTCAAAATTTAGACATTTATCGTTTTAATAATTAAGGTGGAAGTGTACGCAAAGAACAAGAATTAAGGTTTAAATTAAGGCGAAGTGTGCCAGAAAGCGCCAAAGCACAGTGCGCGAAAATTTTCCAAATATTGACATTTATCGTTTTAATAATTAAGGTGGAAGTGTACACAAAGAGCGAGAATTAAGGTTTAAATTAAAGCGAAGTGTGCCGAAAAGCGCCAACAGCACAGTGCGCGAAAATTTTCAAAATTTTGACATTTATCGTTTTAATAATTAAGGTGGAAGTGTACACAAAGAGCGAGAATTAATTTTTACATTAAGGTGAAAATTGTGCGCGAAAATTTTCGAAACGCCTATGGGCGCTAAGAGCCCAGTAGCGAGCAAATATTCGAAGCGCCTATAGGCATCAAGGGCACGGCGCGAGAAAATATTCAAAACGCCTATAGGCGTCGAAAGCACAGTTCGAGAAAATATTCGAAGCGCCTATAGGCGTCAAAGACACGGTCCAAGAAAATTTTCGAAACACATGTACTTGTGAACAACAATGAAAGGGTTAAAATTAGAAAATCCTTATTTTTCTCGGGAATATTCAAAAATGTTAGTTAGGACAATTAAGCTAAGGAGAGCAGACCTTGCCTCGCAAGAAATCGCGTGTATAACCATATTGGAATGCTTTTCTTTCTTTCTTTTTTTGAAAATATAAAAGAGGAGATTCGTTAAGATTTAAAGTTCGATGAATAGATTCTATAGCGAAGCGAAATACGGTCTATCAAATGGTTGGAGCCATGTCTCGATACGGTTGGATGGTCCCTAAACAGACCTGCTCCCGTAAGAGTTACGTTTACCAGTCTCAAAGCAGTTGCAATTCATTGACCCGATACGGCTTTACCAGTCGACGATCGATGAGCCGTATAAATACGGTAGGACAATGGAAACAGGGAAGTAGAGAAGCTGATCGAAATGGTCATCGTTTAAGATCAAGTTGGAACACTGTTTAAGACGAAATTGGCATGACAATACTGAGACTTAGATTTAAGTTGTTTCTGGACTGTGTTTCGTGCACAGTATGTATTGGGAACTGCGTTATTTTCGATAACTAGAAGTAGTTCACGCGTATTCACAAACTAGTTAACTTTAGGTGAATTAATTAGAAAGAAACTTTAATTCGACAAAATTATACGTGAATCGAAAGGTCATCAAAGGTTCATTGGTATTCGAAGATTACTTAAACTTCTGGGCTCGGTAGGGTCGCGAATTTAGTGAAATAGCAATCTACAGTGAAAGTCTCTGTGTTCTATTGTATTAGGTCGATCGCAAAGTTCTATTCAGATTTCATCGTCTGAATTCAAATAACCATTACTCGGGCGAAAGGTGACGTATTTATTCAAAATAAGAACCATTACGATCTATACACCTTTGCTAATGTTTCAGTAATTTATTTATGCTATGTACAAAACATAGACAAGACAAAGAAAATGGATAAGTGGGTTTCACACGACCTGTCTGATAATTATCGGTGAATGCTTCGTGCCTTCATTTGCTCTTCCCATATTCTAAGGAACAGCAAAGACACTTTTCTTCACAGAATTGCAACTGGGATGAAAATTGGGTATTTTACGACAATTGAAAAAGATCTGAGCAGTGGTTGGATCTTAACGAACCACCTAGACACTCTCCAAAACCTAAAGCACGTCTGAAAAAGATAATGCTATCGGTTTGGTGGTCTATCGACGGAATCATTCAGCATAATTTTTTGAAAAAGGGAGAAACTATTACGGCGAATAAGTACTGCAATAGACTTAGCGGAATGCATCAAAAGCTGTCTTTTGCATGATAAGACTCGACCGTAGGTATCGTTAATTACAGTGCAAAAGTTAAACGACCTAGGATACGAGATTCTACAATATCCACTCTATCCTCCGGACCTTCAGCCAACAGATTATCACCTGTTCAAACATTGTAACCATTTTATCAAGGAGAAAGCACTTGGAAGTGAACGCGACGTAAACCAGACCTTCGTGATCTTTGTCGACTCCAGACCTCGTAGTTTTTTTCTAGATGGCATAAATAAATTAGCGGAACGTTGACAAAGGTGTATCAATTGTAATGCTTGTTATTTTCAATAAATATGTTAACTTTTGGCTCGAGTTAAGATTATTTTCAGAACTTTCTGAAAGAAACATTTCTCGAAATTTAGAAGCTTCTAATATAAGAATCGTTACAATTTTTCTTTTATACCTCTAGAGAAGTTACGATTATTTAAATCCAGATGTCTGTTTTATTGACGTTGTTAGGACACAACCCTCAAGGATCACGATGACCATCCTTACGGTGATCGATACAATCTACAGAATGTATTCGATTAATTTAAACCTAACAGTTTATTCAAGCTCGTTTCCAAACGTGCGAGCCTTGCAAGTCTCTTCTCGATAAATTTCCCAAGATTGGCTCTCAATTTCTCAGCCGTGAAATATGTGGAGCAGTTGGTCGAAAGGTGATCATAGAGGAGGACACTTTCCACCGAACGATCATCTTCAAAACGGCTAATTGCCAAGCCTCACGGAGCTTCCAAGAACAAAGCGGGAGAAACGGTTTCGGGGTAATTAAAGTCCTAAGGTGCATCCGATAACGGTCTTAATGAATTCCAGGTAT